ACACACACACACACAGAGAGAGAGAGAGAGAGAGAGAGAGAGAGAGAGAGAGAGAGAGAGAGAGAGAGAGAGAGAGAGATGTCATTCCTTTTTCTTTGCACTATGGGGCAAGATACAGTTTGCAATTGCATGTGTTTCAGGCTTTTTCTCTTTCACAAATACTTTGGGACCCGCGCGCGCACACATGCAGAATCTGTGTTTGTATGAGCATGTGTTTCTGGATTTTTTACTTGGGAAAAGTCATAAAACCTCCCCGTGACTAAACCTTTGTATCCATTTCCCCCCAAATGGGGAAAAAAGTGCCTACGGTCCCAGAATCACTTTTGGTGTTACTTTTGCACCCTGGCTGGGCCGGGGCCTCACCACACATACCATTGAATAGTTTAGTATACTAGTCTGTGTTAGGTTGATGGCGAGAAACGAACTCCCTTCTGCATTTGTGTTTGCCGCCTGAATAATAAATGGGTGTGGGTCTGCTACTCTCATATCTACTCTCATATCTTTGCAAGACGAGCGTGGATATTAGTGTATTTTTATTGTCTTTTTTTTGCTTCTGCGCGTCTCGCCTTTCTTTTTTTGGCCTCCACTATTTTTGCCTTTTTTTTTTGCTTCTGCACGTCTTGCCTTTCTTTTTTTTGCTTCTGCACGTCCACAGTCGTGTCATTGAGGCCTTTTGTGCGCATTTATTGTCGTTGCTCGACTACTCTCGAAATGTGCAAAACGAATAGTCACTCATGAATCTGCTGCCACACCAGGGAAAGATACACTGCCACGATTTTTGTCTTTCTGTAGTGGGGCGAGGACCAGTGGAATGTGTAACTGGCTTTGAAAAAAAAAAAAAAAAAGAAAAGAGAAGAGGCCTGCGGGCCTAGACTCAGGGCCTCGCCACACTACTCCCGACTTGGCCATTTTCGGGAGTGCAGCATCGCCACACCAGCTCCCGAGTTCAACCTGTCAGCTTGAATTTGGGAGCTGTCAGAATGTGGCTCCCCAGTTCAACCTGTCAGATTGAATTCGGGAGCTGTCAGAATGTGGCTCCCGAGAGCTCTCCCGAACTCACCCCCTGCAAAGCTTTTTTTTCGAGAGACCGCATTCGCTCCTCCGAATTTCATCCCAGATTCGGGAGTGGAGCCGGACAGGAGAAATGCTGATCGTGTCCATATCTGGCAAATGACATTTTCAGACTTTGCGCGCGGCCGGGTAGAGAGTGTAGTATGGCGAAAGGCACTCGCGAGTGGGTTTTCACTTCCGGGAGCACTCGCAAAAATTTTCCCATTCCCTCCCCACACACTGGACTGACCTCCTAAAGGGGAGTACAGAACATGCCATGGGGACGTGGCTGGCCCATCCTCAGGACCCAGGCAAAGTCCTGAGAGCCCTTGGGCCAGATCTGCCACACGGTATGAAGCTGGAACAGTGGAAGCTGGGCAACCGACTGAAGGACGGAATGAAGCTGCTCTAGGACGGGGAAATATCGCGACCATCTACAACCGAGCTGGTGGCGGTCCGTGTTCTGGACAATCCACACTCGAGGACAAAACGAAGGCCAGGCCTCAGAATTTCGAGTGGAGCCCACCCTTTTCGGGTGGAAGCTCCCACAGGGTAAAACGGTCCCATTAATACAGTACTCGTCTAAGGTTGGAGTGGCTCAGCACCGGCAGAAGAAACCCAGCCCTCAAGCGGTGGCCTCACACAGATATCAGAAAGGACAAGGGGAATACGACAAGCAGCCGCCGGACTTCTGCAAACTGTGGAGACTGCTAAAGCGGATTCCCTCACAGAGACAAGCTAGCCTAATGTGGCTACAGTCCATGTCCGTAACGGCCTCAGCCCTCTGGCTTAACAAGAGAGGGATGGATCTCACGGTTACCTGTAAAAGGTGTAATTGGGGATGGGAAGCCACGGACCATCTGTGGGTATGTTGTCTGCTGGCAGACGAGCTGTGGATGTGGTGGAAGTTGCAGTGGGAGGAGGGAGGGGGGGAGGAGTGGGAGTGGACAGATGATTGGATCCTCTCCGCCTGTTCACCTGCCAAAGCTAATTTGATGGGAGACTGGGGTTACATGGCCCTGGTATGTAGGGGAATCCTATTGGAGACAATTTGGAATGCACGCAATGCAATGGTTTTCAGGAAAGAGACACAGTCAATCCAGCTCCAGACCAAGATGGTGAAGTCGATGCTGAGCGTGACTATTCTGACAGAGTGGAGGAGAGCGAAGCAAAGAACTGGCAGAGGTCTATACTGGTTTCGAAAGGCCTGGGCTAAGAAAGACTTTCTGGCTTCAATCTCTCCAGAAGGAAATCTGATAATTGCTAAATGGCTGACATAGTCCAGTACAGTAGTCAAGCCGAGATTTAGGCTGACGTAGAGCCTTGAAACCTAAGAAGTAGTGTTAGGAAGGCTCTGAGCAACCAAGATCTCCCTATCTCCCTCTCGAGTGTCACAAGGTTAGGACAGTCCGACAAGTCACAAGGAGAGATAGGTTCGGTGGAGTCTGTAGTGGTCAATGGAGATACAAAGAAGAGTGGAGAGTAATGCATTAGAATATTGTCTGATAGTCCTTTGTTGAGCTCTCTTGAGCTTCAGATCTGTTCTTTGAAACGAGCATAGCTTTTTAACCCAGGATGGTTAAGAGGTTCGTATTCTCGTTAGAGCTTAAAACTGAGCCACCCCCCTTTTTTTAACTCTGCGCTTCAAGATTACTTTTTGGAAAGTCTCGAGATATTAGATGGGACACTGGACCCGGTTTCCAGCTGGCCTAGAGATGTTCTTGAATCAGAGAGTTTGGTCTTCGAGCTCCGCTTGTAAGCTAAACTGGCTGATGCTGCCAGGATAACTCCGGGTAGAATTGTGAGGTGCCCGGGCTCGTCCCTTGATTTTTGGTTTAATAAAGTTTCAAGCTTTCCAAAAAAAAAAAAAAAAAAAAAAAATCCCAAGCCGGGAGTGGTGTGGCGAGGCCCTCAGTTGGTAAGGCACAGAAGTTGCATTCAGGAGGTGACAAGGGCATCCCTCCACTATTCTGGGCATGTGCAAAAAGTCAGTGAATCACAAACCAGCAGAGGGAGGGCCATAAACACCCTTGGAGTCCCCGTCAGACTCGTTGAGCAGCCAAAAGACGAATAGTATTCGAAGCCATAAAAAAGAGGTCAGTGAACTACGCCGTATTGCCTCTCCTCCATTCCGCAGGGGACCCGTAAAGCCAATGACGAAACGGAGCCTTACGGGTCCCTGCCCTAGATGGCGGGATGCATCATCCCACCCTCCGTATAAAATAAAATCAAGACTTCCTAACTCTCCCACACCGTCACACAGACTAGAATACTAAACTATTCGTGTCTAGGTCTCGCTCCACCACTCCCAAAACGTGAAAATCCCGACTTTATCTTTGCGCTTTATCCTGGCTAGACAGGTTCATCACCATCACACTAAGGGGTTGTATCGAGGCCCGATATTTTTGTCAATCCATCCATTGGCCTTACCAAGCACCGCTTGCCACGCTTCGAGTACACTGCCCACCATCCCCTCCCATCTCTCTCTCTCTCTCTCTCTCTCTCTCCCCGCCGTCAGTTGTCACGTCGGCGGGACAAGGCAACTCCATCGCAAAAGCGTACTCTCACCCACTGCTCTAGTCGTGCACTGGCTGGCGCTTCTCTACTAGTAGACTCCTGTGTTGCACACGAGATTACACGTCGAAGTTCCTTTACGTAAGCTTCCCCATTGAGAGTACCTTACAGCCCGCCCGCCTCTGCACCCTCGTTCTCTCTCTCTCTCTCTCTCTCTCTCTCTCGCGCGCGCGCGCGCGCGCGCTCTGTAGCGCGCGCGTTTGCTCGCTCGCTCTGAGAAGGTCCTTACTTGTCACACTGTCGCCCGACGCATCTTCAGGGATATGTTGCAGGGCACAGTCAGAGACGGCCCGCCATAGTGATGCCGCCTCTTCTCCCGTCGCCACCTGTCCTGTCTCGTGACTCTCTGAACTTGATTATCATTTTGTCAGCAACGACGCAACTGCGTTTTCGTGAGCCGTCGACATCCAGTCTTTGATTTTTGGATAGCAAAGAGCTTTTTTTTTTTGCTTTTTTTTATGTCACGACGTGATATCGATTTACGGTGAGTAAACACGGCGTGTACCGCATGCTCTTGTTTGCGACCTTTGCTAGGTTCACGTGACGACTGCCGCGATCAGTCGAAACCCTCGGGAACACCATCATGGTGGCAGCGACCAAGGGGGAGCAAAGGATAGGAATAGCGGCTGAGCGAGGATGAGCTCGAGGGATGAAGTCACCCGCTCTTTTTTGTTGAGTTCACTTTTGGATCGTAATTGGTGTTCGATTGAGCCGCTCGATGCCCGCGGGTGATCGTTCTTCGTGTCGCCGCGTGGCTGTCGACGGCTCGCAGAATGAAGAAGATTGACAGAACCTCCATCTATGTCACAGCCAGTCAGCGTTAGAGTGCTAGCTCAGCGACGGCAAACACTCCCACTGGGTCTGTGCTGGCTGCATTTGGCCATATACAGGGATGGATTCAGTCCAGGCAATCCAATTAATGTGAGTTCGCACTAGCTCTGGTGACTTGCGCGTCAAGAGTGGGGAGTTTTAGCTCAGGAAGGGAAGGCGACTTCAGCTGGGAAGTATAGAAACAGTTTTGCTTGGGGCGGAGGGGATTCTCACTTGAATCCTAAGCGTGGGTGAAGAGCCGTTCGAGTTGGGGATATGAAACTCTTCGGTCCTGTTAGGGACAATTAAATCGCTTTATGTGATCATTGCAGGCGTCTTCGTGTCGATTTCTTTGCTCGGGCGCAGTTGGTCACAGTCTATTTGATGGCAATAGCAGCAGCCACTATGGTGTGTGGCTGGTATCTGGTCCTCGTACTCACAGCGTGCCGGGGATCAGCTCTTAGAACCGGGATTCGGAGTCTTGCCTCCAATCCCAGCTGGCACGCGGGTGATTGCCTTCTTCAGGAGCCGACGAGTGCCGCTCCAGCAGCACCGCAGGAAGAGCGGCAGATAGAGTATTCGCCGTTTGTAAACGGTTCCATCACGCGCGTGACGTTGCATACTCCCCGGGCGAATGCGACGGCGGGGAAAGATTGCCGTTCAGTAATTACGGACCTGGTGGTCGGTTCGGATGAATTGTATTATATCCTGCACCAGTACTGCCGAGTGGATGGTACTCTCGAGGATCGGGCGTTGTCGATTAGGAGACTGAACTTATCGCAGGTGCAGGACGGCAACGGTCCGAGCCCGCAGGAGGACGACTCCTTGATAAGTTACATGTGGCCATACGGGCAGCCGAACGGGACAATAATCCGCGAACCAGCGGATTTTGGAGATGCTCACGTGACAGGAATGGGTCTGTCGAAAGATGGGATGCATCTCGTCTTGAGCGTAACCAATGGAGACCCAAAAGTAACGCGGGGCAATGGAACCATATCTGGTGACCAAAATCGCTCCAGGTTCACATCTTTGTCGCTCGCTGACGGCTATCGGTCGTCCTCCGACCCTTTGAGCACATTGGTCCAGGCGTGGACGTTAGAGTCTAACAAGGGTTTTCTTTACTATTTGCAATCTGATTCCGTATTAATTAACGTCACCGTTAATCATGTCGGGCTTCCAAACGGCCCTCTGAACCAGCTGTCCCGTTTGGACATCCAAACGGGTATCGATCCTGACGAGGAGTTCCAACCTGGAAGCCTTCTCTCTGACGGCAGTTGCCTTTACTCCGTGACTTCTAACGACGGGTTGTTCGGGAGGAAGCTTGGGGATGGACATTTCGACCACTGTACATTTGCAGCCCCTTCCGTTCCTTTCCTGGGGAAAGAGATGGACGTGGTTGCAACGGCTCAAGGGTGTCACGTGTTCACGGCCGCAGACAACACAGTTGCGGTCTTCAAACTCATGGGGCCCTGCAGTAGTCTCAAAGAAAAGCGGGTACTCCCACATTATTTCGGAGAAGCAGATGTTACGGCATTGGCACTCGGTAACTACAGCGACGGCTTAAGCCTTTATGTTGGAACCAGCGACGGCAGCGTGTATCACATTCCGCTGAACGGGTCGGAACTGAGCCGTTGTGGAAACGAACCGTACAGCGACAGAGATTCCAGCGACAGATATTTCCGTTTAATGTTCTTTCCTTTTAAGCCTCCGTCAGATCTCTCAAGCATGATCGTTATAAATAGTCTGTCCACCCTAGGGGGTACTACATACGACCTAGTCATCATCTTTCTATATTCTCCTCCGATTTTTATAGCAATAGCAATAATAAGGTGCACCGTGTTTTGCGTTCGCGGTTTTGTAAAGCGTCGACTCGGAGCTCTGGAACAGGCCAGTAATAACCATGCGGTTACCGGCCGGCCGATGACTTCATCCGTACAGGACTGCACTCCCATGAACGGGTCGGAACTGAGCCGTTGTGGAAACGAACCGTACACCGGACGTGTCCTCTGCGACGGATATCCCAGCGACGGATATTCACGTTCACTGAAGTTTTTTCAGGACATTTTGTTTCCGTCAGGACTCGCAGGCATGATGTATTTCAATTTTACTATTTTACCCTACTTGACTGATATTCCATTCGACGGACCCTACGTATTTGGATATACGGCTCTGATAATACTCGGACACGTGGTAGCAGTTTGCATCGCGCGTAGCGTTCGCGGTTTTCTAGAGCGTCGACGTCCTGCTCTGGAACAGGTCAGTATTAACCATCCCGTTATCAACGGCCGGCCGACGACTGCATCCGTATAGGGCTGCACTGCTATGGATTTCTGGGGCCTGAGGACCTCGCGCGTCAAGCAGTTTGGTTGGAAACTGCTGTCGGATTGCACGGAGAATTTTACCAAGACCTATCGCATCGGGGACCAAGGGGCATTCGGGAAAGTATACAGGGGCTTGCTCGACGGCAAGGACGTGGCAATCAAGGTGATGCCCGGGCAGCTGACGGACGTGAAACGGAACCAGTTCGTGGCGGAGGTGACCACTCTCAGTGCAGTTAATCACGTCAATCTCGTCCAGCTCACTGGTTACTGCCAGGAGGGCAACGAGTGCATCTTGGTGTACCCGTACTTCAGAGGCGGATGTTTGCACGAGCGGCTGTTTCCTCACAACGCTAACCAGAGGGAACTCGCAGAGGATTCTCCTCCGCCGCTCACCGTGAGCGCATGAGCATTGGCTTCCAGATTGCAAGGGGGCTCCAGTACCTACACGATGATGCCAAGCCTCCCATCATTCATCGGGACATCAAGAGCAGCGACGTCCTGCTTGGCGATGGCTGTGGGGACAAACTTTACGTAGTCCTGGCTGATTCCGGACTGGCGGCCATCGGGAAGAGAGTGCTGGACACAGGACACGACCATGTTGTGATCACATCCCACATTGGTAGCACCTCTGGGTACATGTCACCGAAGTACATGCTGAGGGGCGAGCTGCCTGAGAAGAATGATGTATTCTTGTCCTGGAGCTGCTGATGTGTTCTTGTCCTGGAGCTGCTGACAGCAAGAAAGGTAGTCGCACGGGGTGAAGCCTTTCCTTCCGGGCGACAGTGAAACAGCCCAAGACCCAAGCCTGGACATGCCACGTGGTATTCTTGACCGCTGTTTGTGGAATCAGATGGCGGGAGACTCTACGAGGCAGATGGTGATGAACACTTTCAGACTGGCGTGGGAATGTGTCCATGAGGACTTTGGGTCAAGGCCGGCAATGCGAGCTATTGTGCAGCGCTTCCACAGCATGCTTCTCGATGTAGGATGGGACTTCTTGATCAGAACAATGGACATGGAGTACCTTCTGGCGATGTCAGAGGCAGAGGATGCCATCTGCAAGGACGATGATGCTGAGTCGCAAGAGCATCACGAAGTGCTCCTAGAGTGAGGGAAAGGATGAGAACTGTAAAATTCAATACTCTTTTTTTAATATATATATACATATATATATATATATATGACTTCATTTGTGTCTCAGCGAGGGATAGCCACTGGCATTGTAGTATTAGGTAGAATTCTAGCTCCTGACCTGCTTATTAACTGTTACATGGAAGGTGTTCAAATCTTTCACGTGCTGGCAGGTAAAAGTCACTTTGCGGGCCAAGAGCTGAAGTTGGTAATATTTGGATGTGTGGAACATTCATTAGATTCAGCGAAAGGTATTTTAGAGCAAGACCGGGTATGCGCTGGACGTCTTGCCATCATTGGCTGTCGCAGAAGTGTAAAAGTGTTACGGCACTGTAGCATTGGGCTTGTAGTAGTTGTCAACTTGTCACCAACTCCACATTCTGGTATTGAATCTTCTCAATTTAAACGACAGACTTTAATAGTTTTGAAGTAATTGCGACGGCCAGAGATCATCTCACAAATCAAAGAGTTTCAAAAAAATAAAAAAAATAAAAAAAAATCAAAGAGTTAAGAAATCGCCCTTGAGGTGATATCAGATGCATGTTATTTTCCAACTTGTGGTAACATCTTTCCGAGGATTTTATTATGTCCTCATTAATATCGGCTTTTAAAATATATTAATCGTAACCCTTAAGCGGCATTGGCCACAGGCAGGAGTTGGTGGGCCGCTGCGAGCAGGGGAAGGAAGGGCTGAAGTTTTAGAGAAGGCAGGTGCATGAGGGCCATCGAGGACGGGGAAGTGCAGTTGGGGAGTTTGCGCAGGTTTGTTCACAGCGCGCGGGCAACGAGAGAGAGGCAGCCATTGTCAGGGCAGATGGCGGCGTGGAAAGATTTTGTCGCCATGCCCACCGTCTGATAGGAAGTAGAAAGAGACAAAGAGGGGACGCACTTCTGAATGCAAGAAAGGAAAAAGACGAACGCACCTGAGGGTACGATAAGCATTAGTCCATTCCAACCTCACGCCCACTCACCAAATCTCGAAGAGAAGTCTATGGCGCAGCCGATGACTGTTGAAAGCATCGGAGTAGCAGGCTGGGGATTCAACAACTTTCGACCGGAGGTGTCTAAAAGCATTCTCTGACAACTTGAGGAACTTTTTTAATGAGTTTTGTATTATGTGAAGCACACATCAGTAAATTTTCAGGGCATTTGGATGTGCCAAAAAACAAAAGAAAAATCACCAAAGATGGCGGTGTCGAAAACGTGCTGGCTCACTAACTAATATTGAGTCTCTTTTAGTTTTTTCCTTTTTTTTTAATTACTTTTCTTTTCTGAAGTTCGGGACGCTGTTTATATGTGGGGCTTGTCATCCAGGATCCTGGTGCCCCCTGTTTTGTTCTATTTGGCTGTTCCCCTCCCCTTTCCTTTACCTCTTTGCCTTTTGGCTGTGTGCAATTGGGTAGATATGACACACAGGGGTGAGGGCAGCCGCCGCTCAACCACATCCACGTCGGCGGCCTTGTACGCAAGAGGTTCTGAACAGGGGGAGTTGTAAGTAAGAAGATAAAAAATGAATTCATATCTTTTTTGTTTCTTTCGATTTTGCGCTCTGATAACTCTGTGACAATATATATATATATACACGGTTACCAGCCCGTATGTACGGAGGCCCCCGGGCGGACCTCCGTATGTTTGGGCGTTCGGAGTCCCGTTCGGGGGCCGAACCTGAAGGGGTTTGGCCTCCACCAAAAATGATTTCGGCACCTAAAAATAATTGATTGTTTCTATTTTTTTTTTGGTAAGTTCTTTATGGTGCAAGATACATGCATTTTAATTTTGAAGTCATTTTGCTGAGCCAAAACAAAATGAAAAATCTCCATAGATGGAGGTGTCAAAACGTGCTCGCCCACTCACAATTTTGTTTCTTTTCACTCTTTAGTTTTTGTTTTCAATTTATTTCGGGGTCTAAACAATTTTATTATTTTTCAAAACTTTTTTCATATTTTTTTTAATCATCTGAAGTACACATAGATAATTTTTCAGGGCATTCGGCTATGCCAAAAACAACTGAAAAATCGCCAAAGATGGCGATGTCAAAAAAAGGGCTTGCGCACTCACTAATTTTAATTCTCTAATTTCTCTTTTTATTTTTCTTATTTTTCTTATTAGTATTTATTTTCCGTATTTGATTTTTATTTCAAAATTGGTAAGGAATTTGGATGTAATGCTCAGGCAAATGTTGTTTATTTTATCCTTTTGCATATTGTATGTTTTTGTCAGATTTTTCTGAGTTTTTTTTTCTTGTTTTTTTTTTGGGAGGCCGGCGTTCGGCCCAAACGACCGAAGGCATCCCAAAGGGGTCCCGTACGTTCGGGCGTTTGGGTTCGGGCGTTCATCCCGTCTCGAACGCCGGCCACCCTGTATATATATATACAGGGTAACCGGCGTTCGGGATGGGCCGAACGCCTGAACGTACGGAACCCCTTGGGGATGCGTTCGGTCGTTCGGGCCTAACGCGGACCAAAAAAAAAAACAAAAAAAACTATTCAAAACAATCTGAAAAAAAATATATGTTATGGAGAAATATAAAATAAAGAACACTTGCCTGAGCATAACATCCAAATTCCTTACCAATTGAGAAATAAAAATAAAATAAAAAAATAGAACTAATAATAAAAATAAGATAAAATAATAAAAGAAATAAAATTAGTTCATGAGCGAGCACGTTTTCGACACCGCCATCTTTCGCGATTTTTCTTTTTTTTTTGGCAGATCCAAATGCCTTGAAAATTTACACATGTGTACCTCACACAATACAAAACCCATCAAAACAGTTTCAAAAAATAATAAAATTGTTTAGGCCCCGCAATAAAGTGAAAACAAAACGTAAAAAGTGAAAAAAACAAAGTAGTAAGTGGGCGAGCACGTTTTGACACCACCATCTTTGGCGAATTTTTATTTTCGTTTGGCTCAGCCAAATGACAACAAAATTCATAGGCATGTACCTCACATCATAGAGAACTCACGAAAACAAATTCAGAAAATCAAACTTATTTTTAAGCCCCAGAATATTGTTTGGCGGGTGCCGAAAGCCTGTACGTACGGACTGGTGATCCTATATATATATATATCGTCATATATATATATAGATATATATATATACAGGGTTTCCGGGCTGGCCCGCGAACGATCGGGCGTTCGGAGTCCTGTTCAGGGGCCGAACACCTCCAGGTTCGGCCCCCGCCATAACTAATTTTGGGACCTAAAATACGCTTTTTTTTCTGAATTTGTTTTTGTAAAGTTCTCTGTAATGTAACCTACACGCCTATAAATTTTGAAGCCCTTCTGCTAAGCCAAAAAAACATTAAAAATCCTCAAAGATGGGGGTGTCAAAACGTGGTCGCCCACTCACTATTTTTTTTTTTTCACTTTTAACTTTCTGTTTTTATTTTATTTCGAGGCCTAAAAAAAATTATTATTTTTTGAAAAATTTTTAATGTGTTATTTATTATGTAAGCTACATATCTGTAAATTTTCAGGGCATTTTTCAATGCCAAAAAATAATTAAAAATCAGTAAAGATGGCGGGGTCGAAAGGTGCTGGCACACTCACTCATTTTAATTCTCTTTTTATTTTTCCTTATTTTTATCACAGTGTTTATTTTCTGTATTTGATTTGTAATTCAAATTTAGTAAAGAATTGGGATGTAAGGCCCAGGCAAATGTTGTTTAGTTTATGTTTTTCCATAACATATATTTTTTGGGGAATTTTTGGAAAACTTTGTTGTTGTTTTTTTTTTTTTTTGGTATGCGTTCGGCCCGAATGGCCGAAGGCCTTTCAAGGGGTCCCGTACGTTCGGGCGTTCGGGCCTTCCCGAACGCCGGCAACCCTGTATATATATACATATATATCTATATATAAACATATTTATATATATACAGGGTTGCCGGCGTTCGGGACAGGCCAAACACCCAAACCTGAACGCCCGAAAGTTTGGGACCCCCTCTCGACGCGTTCGGACGTTCGGCCGAACGCGGAACCAAAAAAAAAAAAAAAAAAAAAAAAAAAACGTTTTGAAAAATTCTGAAAAAACAACATGTCATGCAGAAGAATCAACTAAACAACATTTGCCTCAACAGTCCATCCAAATTCCTTACCAAATTTGAAATAAATATCAAATACAAAAAATAAATAACATTAATGAAAAAAAAAAAAAAACGAGAATGACGTTATTGCGTGGGCGAGCAAGTTTTTGACACCGCCATTTTTGGCGATTTTTCATTTTTTTTTGTCTTTTACAAATGCCGTGAAATTTTATACATATGTATCTTACATAATAGAGAACCTACAAATAAAGTTTGATAAAATTAGTATTTTTTTCAGGCCCCAAATTAAAGGGGAAACAAAAAGTGAAAAGAAAAAAAAAACAAATTAGTAAGTGGGAAAGCAAGTTTTGACACCACCATCTTTGCCGATTTTTCATTATTGTTTGGCTTGACAGAGTGACTACAAAATTGAGAAACAGGTAGCTTACATAACAGAGAACTCCCAAAACAAAAATTAGGAACAAATAATAATTTTTAGGTACCAAAATAATTTTTTGCGGGGTCCGAACCGCTTCGAGTTCGGCCCCCCTACGGGGACCGGAACGCCCGAACGTTCAGGGGTCAGCTTAGGGGCCTCCGTACGTTCGGTCTGGTAACTCTTTCTCTATATATATATAAACATATGTGTAGACATATACATATATATATAAACAAGGTGGCCGGCGTTCGGGACGGGCCGAACTCCCGAACCCGCACGCATTAACGTACGGGACCCCTTGGGGATGCGTTCGGTCGTTCAAGCTGAACGCGGACCCAAAAAAAAAAAAAAAAAAAAAAAGCTCTGAAACAATCTGAAGAAAACATATGTTATGTAAAACATAAAATAATCACGATTTGCCCAAGCATGACATTAAAATTCCTTACTTAATTTGAAATAAAAATTAAAAAAAAAAAAAAAATACTAATAAAAAAATAAGAAAAAATAGAAAGAGAAATTAAATAATTAAAATTAGTGAGCGCAAGCTCGGTTTCAACACCGCCATCTTTGGTGATTTTTCATTTTTTGTTGGCATACTAAAATAACCTGCAACTTTACATATCTGTAATTCACATAATACAAAACTCATGCAAAACGTTTAAAAAATATATAAAATATTTGAGGCACCAAAATAAAATCATAACAAAAAGTTAAAAGTGAAAGAAGAAAAAAAAAAGGAGTAGCCGAGCTCGTTTTAACACCGCCATCTTTGACCATGTTTCATTTTTTTTTGTTTTTTTTGCTAGGCTACTAGAGCGGCCGGGGGTAACTTGACCGGCCGGGCAAAAGAAAACAAAACAATATTGAGGCAAAAGTTAATCAGTTTATTTTTTTGCATAACATAGTTTTTTTCGGACTTTTTGAAATTCTTTTTTTTTGTTTTGTTTTTGCTGGGACCTTTCTTGGTCCTTGCAAAGGCTGGCCGAAACCCGGGCGGCCTGGCTGGAAGCCTGTTTTTTTTTGTTTTCTTTTTTTTCTCTTCTTTTATCTTTG